GATACTCAACTGCGAGGCTAAAAAAAGAAGAGAAAAATGTATGTATGCATATATATATATACATACCTATACAGAGTATACATACATACATATATATACATATTTACATAGATATAGATATGTGTGTATGTATATATGGTATTGATTTTTTTCATCATTTTTAGGCAATGTCATCTAGGAAAATAATACACGAGGTACACAGGAAAAATTCATTTAAATTTCGTAATATCTGTTAGACTGACAATCGTGCTAACACACTTGCAATTATAGCATGTGCCAAACTATGCCAAATTTCGTAAATAAAACATAGGCAGAAGAAAGAAAAAGGAATCAGAAAATATAATAAAAGAGAGGGAACTAGTAATATATAATTTCTTTATGCATTGCGGCTTTCGACCAGATCTTTTATGGCGTTTATGAGGTATTTCGGAAGAATTGGTGGTTCCAAGCGTCTTAAGTGTGCTCAGAATCCATAAAAGTGAAGATCAAGTGAAATTTAGTATTGGATTTGTTGGTTCTAAGCATTTATAGTTTGTTTAGTACCAATGTATGTGAACTTAAAGTGAAAAGTGAATTGGTGGTTCCAAGCGTCTTTAGTGTGCTCAGAATCCATAAAAGTGAAGATCAAGTGAAATTTAGTATTGGATTTGTTGGTTCTAAGCATTTATAGTTTGTTTAGTACCAATGTATGTGAACTTAAAGTGAAAAGTGAATTGGTGGTTCCAAGCGTCTTTAGTGTGCTCAGAATCCATAAAAGTGAAGATCAAGTGAAATTTAGTATTGGATTTGTTGGTTCTAAGCATTTATAGTTTGTTTAGTACCAATGTATGTGAACTTAAAGTGAAAAGTGAATTGGTGGTTCCAAGCGTCTTTAGTGTGCTCAGAATCCATAAAAGTGAAGATCAAGTGAAATTTAGTATTGGATTTGTTGGTTCTAAGCATTTATAGTTTGTTTAGTACCAATGTATGTGAACTTAAAGTGAAAAGTGAATTGGTGGTTCCAAGCGTCTTTAGTGTGCTCAGAATCCATAAAAGTGAAGATCAAGTGAAATTTAGTATTGGATTTGTTGGTTCTAAGCATTTATAGTTTGTTTAGTACCAATGTATGTGAACTTAAAGTGAAAAGTGAATTGAATTGGTGGTTCCAAGCGTCTTTAGTGTGCTCAGAATCCATAAAAGTGAAGATCAAGTGAAATTTAGTATTGGGTTTGTTGGTTCTAAGCATTTATAGTTTGTTTCGTACCAATGTATGTGAACTTAAAGTGAAAAGTGAATTGGTGGTTCCGAATTTGTTCAGAATTTGTAAATTTAAAGATTACATATAAATTAGCATTGAACAGATGGGTCAAAGTGGCTATGATTTGTTCAGAATCTAAAATGTGAAGATTTTGCGACAACTGTCATTTACTTGGTGGTTCAAGGCGTTTATAGTGTGTTCTATAAATATATAAGTAAATTTAGATTTAACATTGCATCGGTGGTTTCAGACGTAAGTGGCTTCAAGGTATATAGTGTTAAGAATCTATAAATGTGAATTTCAAGTGTAAATTAGCAATGAATCGGTGTTCCAATATGTCTATAATGAATTCAGAATTTATAAATGTAAAGATTAATTGAAATTTGACACAGAATTAGTGGTTCCAATCGCCAATAAAGTTCAGAATACATAGATGTGAAGACTAAGTGAATATTAGCATCCAATTGGTGGTTTAAGGTCGTCTAGCGCGTATTCAGAATCTATAAATGTTAACATTAAGCGTTTTTGGCCCAGGCATTTATAGCATGTGCAGAATCTATAAATCTGGAGATTGCAACTCAGCAATTTAGTGAGATATTTTCCTCTGTCTTCAGCCGGCATGTTTTGCCCTCAATAGTAAGCCGTAGGTATCTTAGTACGCGTTAGAATGATAAAATCGCCGCATATTTCCTTATTATTGACTCTTTCCAGGTGATTTGCTCTTCTTTTCTTTTTTATAAATCTATTTGATCATGGAAAATGCAAACATATGGTAAGAGAAACATACTAAGACCCAGCTGTTTCCCTAAGCAAAATCTGGATGTTGATTGACAGTCATTGCGTCATTCTTAAACATTAAAAGTCCAAACCAAAATAGATTAAATTCTGTACCGATGTTGATTATTAGTATTTATTCAAGTTTCTTATAATGAGTTAAAAGTAATCTATTTGCATTAACCCTATTACCTGTATCAAACATCTCTGCCGCAGTCTTGTCATGTTTGAGAGAGAAGCGTCAATTGTTAGTTGTTATGTTGTGTTGCTTGTTGACTGACCTACGAGGTTTATTGTCGACTGTCTTGTGTTGATTGTTGAATGACTTGTAGTGTTAATTGTCAATTTTCCTTTCTCACACTTTTTTTTTTATATAGCTTGTCACTTTCATCGCCGTCTTTTTTTTTCAATTGTTTCGTTCATATCTTTCACTCATTCATTCATACCATCTTTAAGTTTTCTTTCATTTTTTTTTCTTTTACATCATCT